AGGACATGGAGCCCAGGACGTGGAGCCCAGGACATGGATCCCAGGATGTGGAGCCGAGGACATGGAGCCCAGGACATGGAGCCACAGGATGTGGAGCCACAGGATATGGAGCCCAGGACATGGAGCCCAGGATGTGGAGCACAGGACACTTAGTCACAGGACATGGAGCCACAGGATGTGGAGCCACAGGACACGGAGTCACAGGACATGGAGCCACAGGATGTGGAGCCACAGGACACGGAGTCACAGGACATGGAGCCACAGGATGTGGAGCCACAGAACATGGAGCCACAGGACGTGGAGCCACATGACATGGAGCAACAGGACATAGAGCCATAGGACATGGAGCCACAGGACATGGAGTCCAGGATGTGGAGCCACAGGACATGGAGCCACCAGGACGTGGAGCCTAGGACATGGAGCCCAGAATGTGGAGCCTAGGATATGGAGCCCAGGACGTGGAGCCACAGGACGTGGATCCACGGGACATGGAGCCCAGGACATGGAGCCCAAGACGTGGAGTCCAGGACATGTAGCCACAGGACATGGAGCCCAGGATGTGGAGCCACAGGACATGGAGCCACAGGACGTGGAGCCCAGGACATGGAGCCCAGGACGTGGAGCCACAGGATGTAGAGTCCAGGATGTGGAGCCCAGGACGTGGAGCCACAGGACATGGAGCCACCAGGATGTGGAGCCACAGGACATGGAGTCACAGGACATGGAGCCTAGGACATGGAGTCACAGGACATGGAGCTCAGTACATGGAGCCCAGGACATGGAGCCCAGGACGTGGAGCCACAGGACATGGAGTCTAGGACATGGAGCCACAGGACATGGAGACCAGGATGTGGAGCCATAGGACGTGGAGCCCTGGACGTGGAGCCACAGGACATGGAGCCCAGGACGTGGAGCCTAGGATGTGAAGCCACAGGTCATGGAGCCACAGGACGTGGAGCCACAGGACATGAAGCTCAGGACATGGAGCCCAGGACATGGAGCCACAGGACATGGAGCCCAGGACGTGGAGCCC